CAGCTCTCAGCAGAGCCCCTCACTCAGCACTGAGAGCAGAGCCCCTCACTCAGCGCTGAGAGCAGAGCCCCTCTCTCAGCTCTCAGCAGAGCCCCTCACTCAGCACTGAGAGCAGAGCCCCTCACTCGGCCCTGAGAGCAGAGCCCCTCTCTCAGCTCTCAGCAGAGCCCCTCTCTCAGCTCTCAGCAGAGCCCCTCACTCAGCGCTGAGAGCAGAGCCCCTCACTCAGCGCTGAGAGCAGAGCCCCTCACTCAGCGCTGAGAGCAGAGACACTCACTCAGCGCTGAGAGCAGAGCCCCTCACTCAGCGCTGAGAGCAGACCCCCTCACTCAGCGCTGAGAGCAGAGCCCCTCACTCAGCACTGAGAGCAGAGCCCCTCACTCAGCAATGAGAGCAGAGCCCCTCTCTCAGCTCTCAGCAGAGCCCCTCACTCAGCGCTGAGAGCAGAGCCCCTCACTCAGCGCTGAGAGCAGAGACACTCACTCAGCGCTGAGAGCAGAGCCCCTCACTCAGCTCTGAGAGCAGAGCCCCTCACTCAGCGCTGAGAGCAGAGACACTCACTCAGCGCTGAGAGCAGAGCCCCTCACTCAGCGCTGAGAGCAGAGACCCTCACTCAGCTCTGAGAGCAGAGCCCCTCACTCAGCGCTGAGAGCAGAGACACTCACTCAGCGCTGAGAGCAGAGACACTCACTCAGCGCTGAGAGCAGAGACACTCACTCAGCGCTGAGAGCAGAGACACTCACTCAGCGCTGAGAGCAGAGACACTCACTCAGCGCTGAGAGCAGAGACACTCACTCAGCGCTGAGAGCAGAGACACTCACTCAGCGCTGAGAGCAGAGACACTCACTCAGCGCTGAGAGCAGAGACACTCACTCAGCGCTGAGAGCAGAGACACTCACTCAGCGCTGAGAGCAGAGACACTCACTCAGCGCTGAGAGCAGAGACACTCACTCAGCGCTGAGAGCAGAGACACTCACTCAGCGCTGAGAGCAGAGACACTCACTCAGCGCTGAGAGCAGAGACACTCACTCAGCGCTGAGAGCAGAGCCCCTCACTCAGCGCTGAGAGCAGAGACACTCACTCAGCTCTGAGAGCAGAGCCCCTCACTCAGCGCTGAGAGCAGAGACACTTACTCAGCGCTGAGAGCAGAGACCCTCACTCAGCTCTGAGAGCAGAGACCCTCACTCAGCTCTGAGAGCAGAGCCCCTCACTCAGCGCTGAGAGCAGAGACACTCACTCAGCGCTGAGAGCAGAGCCCCTCACTCAGCGCTGAGAGCAGAGACACTCACTCAGCGCTGAGAGCAGAGCCCCTCACTCAGCGCTGAGAGCAGAGACACTCACTCAGCGCTGAGAGCAGAGCCCCTCACTCAGCTCTGAGAGCAGAGCCCCTCTCTCAGCGCTGAGAGCAGAGCCCCTCACTCAGCGCTGAGAGCAGAGCCCCTCACTCAGCGCTGAGAGCAGAGCCCCTCACTCAGCGCTGAGAGCAGAGACCCTCACTCAGCGCTGAGAGCAGAGCCCCTCTCTCAGCTCTCAGCAGAGCCCCTCACTCAGCTCTGAGAGCAGAGCCCCTCACTCAGCGCTGAGAGCAGAGACCCTCACTCAGCTCTGAGAGCAGAGCCCCTCACTCAGCGCTGAGAGCAGAGACACTCACTCAGCGCTGAGAGCAGAGCCCCTCCTCCAAGGAACCTATTTTAGTAATGATAATGCATTATTCACCACAAGTGAATAATGCATTAGGAATCTCGCTGGAATATCACCACCGAAAACCATTTGCAAAACTTTTGGTCCGGAATATACCTAAATTATATACCTAGGGACAGGAAGCCTGTGAACTTAGGCTTATCCAGGTCGTCCTCCCAATGGGTCAACTACTGACAACCCACAACAGTTGCCTAAACTGCCGGGTACTAATTTAATTGCTGGGTAAACAGACGCACTAGATGAAAGGAAACGACGTTTCCAGTCATTTCTGTCTGGCCCGGGGATCGAACCCTAGATGCCAAGTCGAGGACGTAGACTACTGTGCTACAGAATCCCCATGAGAGCGCACTGCTTGTTCCTGTAAAGAGAGGGACTCGATCCTCAACCCGTTCTCGCAAATTTAATAAGTCAATATTGACTTATTAAATATGTGCATAGGTGACATACTTAACATAATAGTTTCCCTTGAAAAGCTTCATAGAAAATACCGACCTTACCTAACCTACTTAGTATGTTAAGATAAGCATCTTATTGCTTCGTAATTACAATTATTACCTAACCTATACCTATAATAGGTTAAATAACAATTGTAATAACAAAGCTATAAGATGCTTATTTTAACATACTAAGTAGGTTAGGTAAGGTCGGTGTTTTCTATGAAGCTTTTCAAGGGAAACTATTATGTTTAGTATGTCACCTATGCAAGCAACTAATAAGTCAATATTGACTTATTAAATTTGCGAGAACGGGTTGCGATCCTATAGACAAAATATCTACTTGAATCCCTAGGAAACGTCCAAATCGCGGTGCTCTCAATTTTCACTAAATCATTGGAATTCTGACGTTGTAGACTACGGGCTCACCATAGCCCGTGCTACTTGCCCCGCTCCTGTGCCAGGTGAGTCCACTACGGGCTCACCATAGCCCGTGCTACTTGGATCTTTGTTCCAGGTAGCAAATCTTTAACAACAACAACAACGTGACGTTGTAGTCGATCGCGGTGCTTTAAACTATAAATATAGGGGGAAGGGGGGGTGGCTATCCTCACTAATTACTAACATTGTTTTATTGTTAACGCGTCTAGTAATAAATCCCAAGTACTGTATCTCTATCTGCGTTATTTCGAGCATTTAGGCAGAGATTTTTGAGTCTTTAAACGCCTGACGATGACATTCCTCCTCCCCCACCCTCCCCCCCCCAGATCTTTCTCGCATTCAGATATCGCAATTTCAGCACTCTCCAGCTGATATCTTGTAATTCTATCATCATTACCTAGCCTCGGAACCTGACATCATTCAGCATTAAGCTGCATGTGGCAGCCTATCATCCATTTTAAAAGCCTACTTAGATTTCCTTGAAACAAAGCTAAATATGTTTTGAGTTAATTTCTCTCCATATATTTTTGTATCACTCTGAAATTTGATATATAATACTGCGGGCTCTGTTACCTAGAGTTATAATATATATATATATATATATATATATATATATATATATATATATATATATATATATATATATATATATATATATATATATATATATATATATATATATTTAATGATTCTTTAGATCACAGCCATTCTGTCCAAGCTGGAGTGCTGTATTTTGTCCAGTTGTTGTCCAATACGCCATTCCACATTTACCCTAAAGGTTAGGTTTTATTCAATTATTTATGTTTCTGTCCAAGTATAGCCCCCAGAGGAAGGGTCAAATGATGCGCCTTGTTCCATTACTAATGTGGTATCCATGGCTGAGAGTATCTGAACACACGCGTCCTGAGTTAAGGGGATTCGAATCTGTCACCCGGCTGTCGACCCTCCAGGTTAGTTTGTTGACAGCTCCAGGTATATCAGAGTTTGATGGCACCTCACTCATCAGAGCTCACTCACCTCGACTCATTCAGTTCGTCTCATTCATCACGACTTAGGCTTCACGCCTTACTCAACATTCTCAACACTCACGAACATACTCAATTAACTCACGAATGTCCACATCATATCACTCACGGGTCAAGGGGTGACCTTTAATATAACCCTTTATCACAGGGTCAAAAGCAATCGTTTCCTCAGGCAAGTGAAGCTTGTAACCGGCTTGTGGCCCCCCCCCCTTGTAACCGGCTTGTGGCCCCCCTTTGTAACCGGCTTCTGCCACCCCCCCTTGTAACCGGCTTGTCATCATCTTGAATCCGGTTTGTAATTTCATTGACACCAGCCCATCAATTGACCCTTTCTCTGGGGCTATACTCGAACAAAAGCATAAATAGTTGAATAAAACCTAACCTTTAGGCAAAATCTGGAATAGCAGATTGGATAACAACCGCTCTTAACACGCGTGGACAAAATCCGCCAGTCCAGCGTTGGACAGAATGACTGTGAACTAGGGGATTATTATCATATGTTCCAATTTCTGGTCAACAACGCTCGTACAATTATATTTATATATTGTTCCTAATGGGTGTGTTTTTGTGTGTGAGTGTGCGGAGTGAGGCACTGCTGCTGCTCAGTGCCACAGGTTGGCACTCTCCATTACTTCTCCGGGGTAAGGTTGCGTATTAATCTTGGCTATAGATCTGTGGAACAAATTACCGGGTAAAATAATACATGTGGGGTCTCTGTGCGTCCTCCTGTGGTCTTGAGTGACTGATATAACGCCAGTGGCTTGGGTTAAGTATGGTTAGGTTAGGTTAGGTTTGAAAACCCGCTGTCGAAACTGTCTTGTGTACGATGTGGCTTTTATCCGACCGGACAGCTGGTCGAGGGAGGGGTGAGGGAGGAGGGAAAGGAGGGAGGGAGCGAGAGAGGGAGGGAAGGAGGGAGGGTGCAACAGAGGGCTCCCTCAGTCAACATTTACTGGCTGTCTCACACTGGGAGGAGTTGGGCGGGAAGCCGGACCAGTGAATCCTGAGATTTTAATTGTTTGTGGAGTCCGGCCTCGCTTGAGGTGGTGGAGTCCGGCCCCACCCGAGGTGGTGGAGAGTCCGTGGTCCTGATAATGGTTTTTTTTCTTGCTGGCGAATTTCTCCGAAGGCAAATCTGTGGACCCGCAATTCCTTGCGCGGAGAAATCCACGGTTAAGGAATTCCTTGAACCGGAAAATCTTCGTGCGAGCAAAATTCTTTGGTCTGGCAAAGTTCCTTATATATAACTCCCGGACGAAAACAGAGAGCCAGAAAGCGAATCCATAATCACTTTGAATGTCCCTCAGCCTGTTAGTGAATGTCTGCAACAAGCAGCCTGTGTGTCTGTGTGCGCAGAGAGATTGGCACGGTCTGCGCGCGTAATCGACGACACTCCGGAATGAGCGCGAAAACTGAATCTACCAGTTCTGAGAGAAGCCTCCAGGGAGGCTACAAGCTCTTCAAGACTCCCGTTATCGAGACAGAAGACCTCGAACGTAAGACTCCACAGAGCATCAGATGAGAGCAAGGTCGCAGCTGTGTACTCAAGACGAGTCGTCAACGGATTTGAAACCCTATCTGGTTGATACCTGGTTGACCTTACCTTATATCTAAGGTAAGGTAAGGTAAGGTATCTAACCTTACCCAACGTAGCCTAGCCCAACCCAGGGCCTCAACCCAAGCCAAGCTAACGCAACCTAATCAAGCCTATCAACCTAAGCTAAAACATCGTAATATGACAGTATACAGTATCAAGGGGAGTCTAGGTAGTACAGTTGGGGGAAGTGTGACTACAGCTGGACGGGAGAAAGACAGTAGCGGAAAGCTGAGACGGAAGACGGGAAGCTGAGGAGACGGAGGAGCGAAAACATTTGAGAAATAGACAGGAAAAACCAGACAGCAAGTTGAAAAGTAGAGACACAGCAGGCAAAGAAGGAGAGATACAGCAGGCAAAGAAGGAGAGACACAGCAGGCAAAGAAGGAGAGACACAGCAGGCAAAGAAGGAGAGACACAGCAGGCAAAGAAGGAGAGATACAGCAGGCAAAGGAGAGATACAGCAGGCAAAGAAGGAGAGACACAGCAGGCAAAGAAGGAGAGACACAGCAGGCAAAGAAGGAGAGATACAGCAGGCAAAGGAGAGATACAGCAGGCAAAGAAGGAGAAACACAGCAGGCAAAGAAGGAGAGATACAGCAGGCAAAGAAGGAGAGACACAGCAGGCAAAGAAGGAGAGACACAGCAGGCAAAGAAGGAGAGAGACAGCAGGCAAAGAAGGAGAGACACAGCAGGCAAAGAAGGAGAGACACAGCAGGCAAAGAAGGAGAGACACAGCAGGCAAAGAAGGAGAGATACAGCAGGCAAAGAAGGAGAGATACAGCAGGCAAAGAAGGAGAGACACAGCAGGCAAAAAAGTAGAGACACAGCAGGCAAAGAAGGAGAGACACAGCAGGCAAAGAAGGAGAGACACAGCAGGCAAAGAAGGAGAGACACAGCAGGCAAAGAAGGAGAGACACAGCAGGCAAAGAAGGAGAGATACAGCAGGCAAAGAAGGAGAGACACAGCAGGCAAAGAAGGAGAGACACAGCAGGCAAAGAAGGAGAGACACAGCAGGCAAAGAAGGAGAGACACAGCAGGCAAAGAAAGAGAGACACAGCAGGCAAAGGAGGAGAGACACAGCAGGCAAAGAAGGAGAGACACAGCAGGCAAAGAAGGAGAGACACAGCAGGCAAAGAAGGAGAGACACAGCAGGCAAAGAAGGAGAGACACAGCAGGCAAAGAAGGAGAGATACAGCAGGCAAAATACGGGAAGAGCGACTGAAGGATTAAAAACAACAGAAAACCGAACAGGAAAAAAAAGGAGAGACTAAAGAAATCCAGAGACGGGGGATAATTGACGTTTAAGACGAATGATGGAAGTGGAGAAGTGGAGGAAACTTAGGGTGGTAGGGAATGTATATAGTGGAGGCTTATGGCGGAGTGGAGGCTTAGGGGTGGTGGTGGAGGAATCATATGCCGTAGAGTGGAGGTGTTGTGGAGGATATATAGCCTGCTACGGGCGATATATAGCCTGCTACGGGCGATATATAGCCTGCTACGGGCGATATATAGCCTGCTACGGGCGGTATATAGCCTGCTACGGGCGATATATAGCCTGCTACGGGCGGTATATAGCCTGCTACGGGCGATATATAGCCTGCTACGGGCGGTATATAGCCTGCTACGGGCGGTATATAGCCTGCTACGGGCGGTATATAGCCTGCTACGGGCGGTATATAGCCTGCTACGGGCGGTATATAGCCTGCTACGGGCGGTATATAGCCTGCTACGGGCGGTATATAGACTGCTACGGGCGGTATATAGCCTGCTACGGGCGATATATAGCCTGCTACGGGCGGTATATAGCCTGCTACGGGCGGTATATAGCCTGCTACAGGCGGTATATAGCCTGCTACGGGCGATATATAGCCTGCTACGGGCGATATATAGCCTGCTACGGGCGGTATATAGCCTGCTACGGGCGGTATATAGCCTGCTACGGGCGATATATAGCCTGCTACGGGCGGTATATAGCCTGCTACGGGCGATATATATATATCCTGCTACGGGCGATATATAGCCTGCTACGGGCGATATATAGCCTGCTACGGGCGATATATAGACTGCTACGGGCGGTATATAGCCTGCTACGGGCGATATATAGCCTGCTACGGGCGATATATAGCCTGCTACGGGCGATATATAGCCTGCTACGGGCGATATATAGCCTGCTACGGGCGGTATATAGCCTGCTACGGGCGATATATAGCCTGCTACGGGCGGTATATAGCCTGCTACGGGCGATATATAGCCTGCTACGGGCGATATATAGCCTGCTACGGGCGATATATAGCCTGCTACGGGCGATATATAGCCTGCTACGGGCGATATATAGCCTGCTACGGGCGATATATAGCCTGCTACGGGCGGTATATAGCCTGCTACGGGCGGTATATAGCCTGCTACGGGCGATATATAGCCTGCTACGGGCGGTATATAGCCTGCTACGGGCGGTATATAGCCTGCTACGGGCGATAGATAGCCTGCTACGGGCGATATATAGCCTGCTACGGGCGATATATAGCCTGCTACGGGCGGTATATAGCCTGCTACGGGCGATATATAGCCTGCTACGGGCGATATATAGACTGCTACGGGCGGTATATAGCCTGCTACGGGCGATATATAGCCTGCTACGGGCGATATATAGCCTGCTACGGGCGATATATAGCCTGCTACGGGCGATATATAGCCTGCTACGGGCGGTATATAGCCTGCTACGGGCGATATATAGCCTGCTACGGGCGGTATATAGCCTGCTACGGGCGGTATATAGCCTGCTACGGGCGATATATAGCCTGCTACGGGCGATATATAGCCTGCTACGGGCGATATATAGCCTGCTACGGGCGGTATATAGCCTGCTACGGGCGGTATATAGCCTGCTACGGGCGATATATAGCCTGCAACGGGCGATATATAGCCTGCTACGGGCGATATATAGCCTGCTACGGGCGATATATAGCCTGCTACGGGCGATATATAGCCTGCTACGGGCGGTATATAGCCTGCTACGGGCGGTATATAGCCTGCTACGGGCGATATATAGCCTGCTACGGGCGGTATATAGCCTGCTACGGGCGGTATATAGCCTGCTACGGGCGATAGATAGCCTGCTACGGGCGATATATAGCCTGCTACGGGCGATATATAGCCTGCTACGGGCGGTATATAGCCTGCTACGGGCGATATATAGCCTGCTACGGGCGATATATAGACTGCTACGGGCGGTATATAGCCTGCTACGGGCGATATATAGCCTGCTACGGGCGATATATAGCCTGCTACGGGCGATATATAGCCTGCTACGGGCGATATATAGCCTGCTACGGGCGGTATATAGCCTGCTACGGGCGATATATAGCCTGCTACGGGCGGTATATAGCCTGCTACGGGCGGTATATAGCCTGCTACGGGCGATATATAGCCTGCTACGGGCGATATATAGCCTGCTACGGGCGATATATAGCCTGCTACGGGCGATATATAGCCTGCTACGGGCGGTATATAGCCTGCTACGGGTGGCTAAGGCAGCAGGTGGCCGCCGCTGGCCTTCAGGTAACAGACTATCGTCCTTAATTACCAGCGAGGGAATATATCCATGAAGGTACGAAACTCTTTTTTTCTTAAGTTCACACTAACGAGTATGTGTGTGTATGTGTACATACACATACGACATGCATCGTATGCCTCTATGTATGTCTGCATGTATGTATGCTCTGTATCTCTGTGTATGTCTGTCTGCATGTGTCTGGGTGTATGTCTGTTTGTGTGTCTGTATGTATATTCTGTATGTCTGTATGAGTGTGTGTACTACCTTTCTGGCCATTGGTTGTCTAATGTGCTGACTCCCGGCCTATTTTTCTTCATTCTTATGTACATTTTTCTAACACACACACACACACACACACACACACACACACACACACACACACACACACACACACACACACACACACACACATACACACCGTCAGGATGCAGCCCGTGGCAGTTGTCTAACGCCCAGGTACCTATTTACTGCTAGGTGAACAGGTACATTAGGTAAAAGAAACTGCCCATTTGCCTCTGCCTCGACTGGGAATCGAACCCGGACTATTAGAACTACGACCCCAGGGCTCTGTTCACTCGGTTGCGAGTGTGTGTGTGTGTGTGTGTGTGTGTGTGTGTGTGTGTGTGTGTGTGTGTGTGTGTGTGTGTGTGTGTGTGTGTGTGTGTGTGTGTGTGTGTGTGTGTGCGTGTCGTATCTGCATGTCTGTTTTGTAATTATTCTCAGTAAAGTATTAATTCGCTGACATACTCACAAGAGAAGGCCTCGTATGCTTCGATGTCTACCTGTCTGCCTGTCTACCTGTCTGCCTGTCTACCTGTCTACCTGTCTGCCTGTCTACCTGTCTACCTGTCTGCCTGTCTACCTGTCTGCCTGTCTACCTGTCTGCCTGTCTCTATGCACGTACACGTCTGTATCTCCGCCAGCGTGGGCACCACACGCCTGTCAAATTTTTTTCGTGACAAATGATGTCAAAACTGTCAAGATGTGAGTGCGAAATATAACTGTCAACAAATATTGGGCTGCGTTGCGCCTGTTGGGCAAGAAGGACAGGCGTGAAGGTTACCTTGAGGTGCTTCCGGGGCTTAGCGTCCCCGCGGCCCGGTCGTCGACCAGGCCTCCAGATGTGAAGGACACATCTGCTGGCCACATTTCTCATCTGACAATATGCAGATGAGAAATGATACAATGAATGAACAGTGACGAAGTGCCAAATGAACAGTGCTAAAGCACTGTTGTTAAAAAAAAAGGTTGTCATTAAGAGATGACCTAAGGTCAGGTAGTTTAGCATTTGTTGAGAATTAGGGAGAGAGAGAGAGAGAGAGAGAGAGAGAGAGAGAGAGAGAGAGAGAGAGAGAGAGAGAGAGAGAGAGAGAATAAATAACAGGAATAATATTAGAGTGAGAGATAAAATGAGAGTGAGAGAGACCATGAAAGTGAGAAAGAATAGGAGAGTGGGAAAGGATGAGAGAGAGAGAAAATGTGATAAGAGATATTAGGTGAGAAAGAGAGTGAGAGTCTCTCATCGTCCCTATGTCTTTGTCTCTAGTTCCCTGACTAGACACCCCCTTCCCCTCTGGTCCCCCTCCTTGTCTCCTTCTAGTCCTCTCTCTCTCTCTCTCTCTCTCTCTCTCTCTCTCTCTCTCTCTCTCTCTCCTATCCCTATGAGGGTGTTGACTCGTTGTTCACTTGAGAACACGGCTTCTGCAACTCGCAATCAAAACCAATTACCGTTCCTTTCACCTTACTGTTTCTTCTCTGTTCCGTCCAGGTAGGTGATGTGGGTCTCTGTCACCCTCCAGGGAGGTAATCCGGTTCGCCTCCCCACGCGTGTGTCTGGGGGGCCAAATATCGATTCCGCTATCATATATCGAGTCCCAGCTATCACCTGCCAAAGCACCAAGAGCCGCAATAAACGGGACCAAGCGACATTCGAGGGTCACTTCCTCACTGAGTCCCACTCGAGATATCGAAGCTGTGGATGATCATGGCGGCTATTTTGAGACGCGTACCTTACGAAGGTGAACAACAAAGGTACCTCGTTGTGGGGGTTGTCGTTCGCACAACGAGAGGATGAGGAATTCCTTTGTGCCACCGCTAGAAATGATCGAAGTAGATGTACTAGGCGATCCAGGAAGGGGGTTTCGATGCTCGCCTCGAAGTGGCTGAAGCCTTTGTTATACGTGTGTGTGTTTCTTCAGATCGGGAGCCCCCTTGGGTGGTGCCCCTTGGGAGGTGCCCTTTGGAGTGGTGCCCTTGGGTGGTGGCCCTTGGGTAGTGCCCTTGGGTGGTGCCCTTAGGTGTCCAGGTATACATAATCCGACCGAGATCTTCAATAACATACGCCGGATGATATCTCATGAAGCTGTGTTCCGTACAGGACCACTTCTGAACCACTCCCGACACATTCCCTCCCGACACATTCACTCTTCCCTGTTCTTTTCCATCACCTTCCCACTCCACTACGTCTCTCCCACACTCTCCCTCACTTAACGTCCAGCTTGACGCTAGACATGACAGCTCCCTTTAAACACTTTTAACCAATGACAGAAACGCTGTAAAACAGACAGTCTCTCTTCTTGCAAATCGGCGTTCAATCCCCGACCATCTCCAAGTGGTTGGGGA